GGATACATCAGAACACACATCACAGGAATAAGGCATTGATACAAAACAACAAAAGCACTGACAAACTAAAAGCAGCCGGCTCCAAAAGACATGTTAGAATTACACATGGATTTTTCATTTTTAACATCACATTTCCCCCAACCTTTGCCATGTATTGGTCCCTGACATCAAGATTATAGCAGATGGTTTTGGATTACGAAGACCCATAATCTAAATTCGATTTTATAAATATGTGACACTCTGTTATCCAAATATTTCATTTATACTGTGCTTTTCTATGTATTTATAAACCCTCTCTCCAAAATGTATCTTAGGAGTATCATTTCAGGAAATAATAAAATTTGAAGCCAATGTTTGTCAACATAATACTCCACTGAATTTGTTCTTTTCTACATTTGTATAATTAGTAGGTTAAATTCTTATATTGTTCTGTTAGTATATTATCTTCTCCCTTTCAGATGCTTATACAGTGTCTGTATCAGATGACCGTTGCCACTTGTAAATTAAGAAAATGTATCTCCAACATTTTCTGTTTGGAATTCTCTGTCTTCTTTATATCTTCCAGATAGATAACATCATGCTATACTTTAAAAAAAATATCCTTTCTCTCATTGTAGGCTATTAACCATGTATATCTTATCATATGTTTTACTCAACAGGGCTCTTCTCCCAAGGATATTTGCATATGAACTTTATAGTGGAATAAAATATTTTGTTGTCCAGCCTGGCCAACATGGCAAAACCCCACCTCTACTAAAAATACAAAAGTCAGTCCGGCATGATGGCACTCTCCTGTAATCCCAGCTACTTTGAAGGTTGAGACAGAAGAATCGCTTGAACCTGGGAGGTGGAGCTTGTAGTGAGCAGAGATCATTTTACTGCACTCCAGCCTGGGACACAGAGTGAGACCTTGTCTCAAAAAAAGAAAAAAAAAAAAAAAAACATTTTGTATTATAACAACTATGTGTGCCTTTCTTTTTATTTTTCCTTGGAGAGGACATAACCTTCTTTTCTCCTGCTAGTTCCCTTGTACCATACTCACGTGGCCATCAAGGGTTAAGCCCTACATGTTTGTGTCTTGTCTGTATCTTCAGAGACAGAGCAGCATAAAGGGGGAAGATATAGCTTAGTTACCTCACCAGCCACAAAAATTAGCAAGTAAAAATTAGAGGGTTGGGGATGGGGAGTTATACATCATTATGCACAGCATAATGCTGATAAGCAAAGCAGTCTTTAGCAGCCAAAAAGTACATAGCTGCACCTCCCCACATAACAAATGATGATGAAATGGGCTACAGTGAAGTGTAAACCTGTAATATTAATATTTTAGAAGCTTAATATCAGATATCTCTCTCTGTATATATGAGTATATACATAAGTAGTTCTAAATGATGTAATGTGGTATCTTGTATCATGTTAAAACAAATAAAAAATAATTTAACTTTTCTAGAATTAAATGAGAGCAACAAAAGTATTTTTTTTGTAAAAGATATTAATTCCCATAAAAAAATCAAAGGCAAAATAAATCTGTATGTAAAGTTTCAGCATCTGGTAGCCTGCTGCTCTAAAAGGTTAGAAAGAAAAAATACTCACATCTCTCTAATTCCCATAATTAACACTTTAAAATTTCTGTGCCTATAACATTTATACTCTCTCCTGCAACTAGAGCACCCATGCTATTTAGTGAGATCTTACATTGAAATGGGTTCCATTATGGAAGACAGTGTGTCAATTCCTCAAGGATCTATAAACAGAAATTCCATTCGACCCAGCAATCCCATTGCTGGGTATATACCCAAAGGACTATACATTGTTCTATTATAAAGACACACGCACATGTATGCTCTTTGTGGCACTGTTTACGATAGCAAAGACCTGGAGCCAACCCAAATGCCCATCAATGATAGACTGGACAAAGAGGTGGCACATCTACACCATGGAATACTACACAACCATAAAAAATGACGAGTTAGTGTCCTTAGACACATGGATGAATCTAGAAACCACCATTCTTAGCAAACTGACACAAGAACAGAAAACTGAACACTGCATGTTTTCATTCATAGGTGGGTGATGAACAATGAGAACACTTTGGCACAGGGAAGGGAACAACACTCACAGGGCTAGGTCGGGGAGGTAGAGGGGAGGGAGGGGAAGGGACAGTGGGAGGATGGGGAGGATGGGGAGGGATAACACTGGGAGAAATGCCTGATGTAGGTGTCGGGGGTGGGGAGTGTGGATGGAGACAGCAAACTACCATGGCATGTAAGTACCTGTGTAAGACGTGTACATATACCCCAGAGCCCAAAATACAATTAAAAAAAATAAAGAAATGGGTTCCTTACTCAACACCGTCACTTGGCCTCAGTTTCTTTATTGTGCACTTTCAATTTTCTCATTGTTGACTAGATTGTATCATTTGTATTCCTGAAGTGCTGTATGCATGACAGAACCTGACTTGCCCAGATTTACTGTCATATTCTTCAGTCATATTTTCCCTCACAACTTTTGAAAGTAGCATTTTCTGACTCTGCTTCCACTCCTTACAGTTGCTTTAGGTCTCTTGGTGTCATGTCACTTATTTTAGGGAAAAATACATTCCCTTGGCACCTAGAATTATATGGAATATCTTTTTTATATTTTGCTCTAGGTTTTCTAATACTGGGATGGTCTGTATTGTAATTATCATTTGGGTATGGACAGTCTGTTGCGTCATGTTTTTCTGTCTATATTCATTGTTTTATAGTTGTTTCCAATGACTTTTATGAGAGAGAAATAGATTTAAATTTCTATTACTTCAACATCTTTAGGTAGAACTTTTGATAACTTATAATAACTCAACAATACTTTCATGTCCATTGCCTGATGAATATCAAGTTATAAAAATGAGCTAATTTATACTAATATTACATTAAAACTGCATATTTGTTATGTTCCTCTACCTTTGTTTGTATATCACTTTTTCACCAAGTCTTTTTACTGATTGAGACATCTTCATACTTCTGTGAATACCTTATATTATTCTGAATATACTAGGCTAGCTTTTTCTTATCTGGATTCTTTTCGGCTTTTGGTCTTCATAAACCTGATATGCCTTTCTTTACTAATGCAATATTTTTTCTTCCCCTCTTTATTATTTCCTCTTGTTTTTATTTTGAGTTTCCTCCTGCTCTCTTTTTTCATCTTTGTTATAGTCCTTCCTTCCTTCCTTCATTCCTTCGTTCCTTCCTTCCTTCCTTCCTTCCTTCCTCCCTCCCTGTCTCCCTTTCTTCTTCCCTCTCTTCTTCCCTTCCTTGTTTCCTCGTATATCCTTTCCCTTTTATTTTTTTTATTTCTATAATTGGTTGATTCAAGATTTATGATTTCACATTTCTTATTTTCCTTTAGCTTTATTAATGTACAATCACAAAAAATTATATATTTATAGTTTTCTACATGGTGTTTTGACATATGCATTGTAAAATAATTAACTCAAGATAATTAATATATCCATGACAAAACAATTATTTTTTATAAAGGGTGAGACCACTTAAAAGCTATTATTTTAGCAATTTTCAAGCATGCAACATATTATTATTATTATTTATTGTACTTTAGGTTCTGGGATCATGCAGGATTGTTGATCATCCAGGATGTTGCATAGTTATATACGTGGAATGCAGTTTGCTGCTTCCATCCCCCTGTAACCTATATCTGGCATTTCTCCCCATGTTATCCCTCCCCAACTTCCTACCCTCCACTGTCCTCCCCCACCCCCCACCAAGAGATGCCAGTATGTGATGCTCCCCTCCCTGTGTCCATGCCAACACATTATTAAGTATAGTCACCATGCTATACAATAGATATACAAAACTTATTCATATTGTCAACTAAAACTTTACCTTTTAACAACTATCTCTGTTTTTTCTCCCTCTCCACCCAAGCCCCTGTCAACCATCATTGCTGTTTTACTGAATAAAACATCGTGGTCTTTGTTTGTTGACTCATATTTATCTAAGTTAATATTATTTCCTTCCTTTTTAAGTTGCTATCCACCCATATTTCTACCAGCTGCTCCTTTGAAGCAAAAGAGTTTTTGCCTCTGTCCTTAATTATGTTCTTTTACTCTCAATGAATTGCTACAAAATTTGAAACTACCGGTTACTAACGAATTCCATGATTTAAGGTCAAGAACTCAAGTTGTAGTTGAACACATCTAGCTACTTTTACAGAGATTTTATAATAGAACTACATTCTGGGTCCTGGAGGAAAAATTACAAGGCCATTGCATCTTCAATAGGAACTAAGTTTTTACATTAATATACAGTAGATACAAAGTGCTCTTTTTAATACACTGTATACATTTTAGGAGTCAACTCTTTTACATCTGTAAGTGATTTTTTGATTAACAGATTTTTTTTTTTTTTTTGAGGTGGAGTCTCACCCCGATGCCCAGGCTGGAGTGCAGTGGCGTGATCTCGGCTCACTGCAGCCTCCACCTCCGGGGTTCAAGAGATTTTCCTGCCTCAGCCTCCAGCATAGCTGGGATTATAAGCACCCACCACTAGGCCCAGCTAATTTTGTCTATCTTTAGTAGAGATGGGGTTTCATCATGTTGGTCTTGAACTCCTGACCTTGTGAGCCACCCTTCTCGACCTCCCAAAGTTCTGGGATTACAGGTGTGAGCCACCGCGCTAGCCTGTTTCATAGGAATTTTAACTTTAAGCGTTTATGCCATTTTGACTTTATTATTTCAGGCAACTTCAAAATGTCTTCCATTTTGACTTACTATCTCTAGTTAGATTTAGCCTAAATTTTTCTGTTATTCCCCAACAGAGATTACATGAGAGGTTCATGGTATCTATGGATCTTTTTTTTAAATAAGGGTGGCAAGAATGATTTTTGGTGCCTGCCAACATCTGTTGTGTGACTACGTATATGTTATATATACATATATAGTTATAAATATAACATGTTTTATTTAACATGTTTATTGATAAAAGAATCAAAAGTTGGCTTACCTCCTCGCTTGTTTATCTTGGCATAGCCGGGAGAATAGCTACCAGACATGGAGGAGGAGCTGCTGAAAGACACATGGGGGAGTCCAGAGACAAGGGGCTCGTCACATTTTTCTAAAAACAAAAGAGAGAAAGAAACTCAATAAAGATTTCTAAATAATGATTGGTATGTGTTGGTTAAAATAATCATTGAATGTGGCATGTCTTTTATAAATCTTTGAAACAACATTTAGCAAATCAATGTAGGCAATTCTGTTATGCTAAACATAATAAAACACAGGGCCAGTTTATATAACCCTCTAATTTTCAAGAGGAAAACCATAGCAAAGCACCTTACTCTGAAGGACCTCGACTCAGATTTACTATCTGAGAATCACGAGTAAACTGAGCTTGTTCCTGTAACAAGCTTTGGTATCTGGCATCTCCTGGAAATCTTCAAGTGTTTATACATTACAGGAGCAGAGCACTAGAGTTATTGAGGTTGGGGGAGGAAAGACAAAGAGGACTCCTACCAAAGCTAAAAGACCGAGAATGGGGAGTTGCTAACCAACACGTATAACATTTCAGTTATGCGAGATGACTACGTTCTGGAGATCTCATGTGCAATATTATAACTCTAGATAATAATGCACACTTATCAAGCAGATCTCATGTTACACATTCTTACTAGAAGAAATAACTAGACATCAGCAAGTGAACACACAATAATCATCAACTTGAAAATTATTACCACCAGAAAAATTAATCAGTTTCCATCATACTCAACCAATCAACTGCACTGGAACCAGCGATACCTCAATTCTATTTGTAACACTTTCTGCACTTGGCTTTTATAATGTCATTAACATTTTTTTTTTCTTTTTTCTCATTAGCTGCTTGCTCTCTGATTCCTTTGATGGATCTGTCTCATTTTGCTAATGCCTAAGTGTTCCTAATGTTAGCGTGGCCGGGACTCTTCTGAGTCTACCCTCCCTCTCTGGGAGAGGGCATGGAGGGCTACGTCTTCTGGTTGCCAGAATGTTCCAAATCCTACTGCCTCACTTTAACTCCATAGTTACAGAACAGGAACACACAGCTTCCAGAGATCACTGTCACAAAAGACTGTGCAGTCTTCCTGCATCCCCTCTCACTCTGCTACAGTTCTTCTGCCTGCGGCAGCTGAAGAAACACTTTTTACACTGCAAGTGAACAGGTGGCTGTTGTACTCAAAATATTCTCAGGCTCCTGCTCTCAATTTGGCATACTGTTCATACTATTTGAAGTCCCCCTGCCACCACCCCACCACCCAGTGGTCTACGATGACCACAGTCCTCTCATCTCTTTCCCCATGTCCTTGTCCTGTCTAGCCACCATGGCCCCTTTCCTCTTCCTTTATAAACAAGCCTGCCCCTGCTGTAAGCCTTTGCAAAGACTATTCCAAGTATCCTCTCTTGTCACCTTTGCCATTGCAGATGCGCTTTGCTAGTTCACCCAGCATTTTGTTGCCATTCGCCTCGGTACCCACAGCCTGCTCGATTTTCCACCATCACACTTAGCACCAATTGATATATTATGTTGCTACTCATTCAATTGTTTTGCTGCCTTTCTCTCCCACTAGTCAGCAAGCTCTATCTGAAATGAAGTTTTAGATAGTTGGCCTAATGCTTACTGTTCGGTGATCTGAACAAGGGTACTTGGCACATACTCTAAAAACATTTGCAGAATACATGAATGAATGCACTAAACCCGATGAACCTCAAAGAGTCTGGAAGCATGATCTCATATTATAACATGGCACAACACTTAATTTTTAGAGTGGTGGTCTTAAATTCTCAACAAATGTTTGTGTTCAGAACTCTGTTTAATAAAACAGAAAATTTTTCTCTATATAGTCAAACATGGTTTCTCAGAAATTTATAAGCAAAAAAAAATTAGCAACAGAAAGAATAATTTTCTTGTAAATTCACTTAAGTGAAGTCTCCAATGACACTGGAGAAATGAATTATTATTTATTGTCTTACACTCAATTGTATACAAATTGGAAATTAAAATGAGCAAATTCGTCTTCATATAATATTTTTAAATTGCTTATTTTTCTTAGTTATACTGCAAGCACCTCTGGGAAATAGGGCATGTGTATATAAATAAGTTTCCCAGAAAGTTAAATGTGAAAGAATGAAAAGAACATAAAATTTGTTTTAAAAATATCAATTCACAAAGCTATCATCTAAAGTGAAGAATTTCATATTATTTGAAAACATTTACTTCTCTCTTTAGCTGTAAGTGAGCACAAACATACATCATTGATTTTCTTACTTTTGATTCATTTGAGTTTAACATTTTATAATTTTCAAGATAAATTTTGCCTTTAATTATAGTAAACATTACTTCTAATGTTCCCATTATTTTAAAAATGTGCTAACATTCACTCATTTTCATTTCACTCATTTAAATACGCATCAGTTGCCTATGTTGGGCCAAGCACTGAAGTGTGGCTGAAGGTGAAATTAACAACGTCCTGCCCTTGTACAGCATATGTTTTAGTGGTAAGAAACATCTCAACAAAAAAATGTTAATTTATATTATGCTATGGTAATTAATACTAGGAAGGAACATTAAATAAAAAACAGTGGGCAGGGAGTTTGGGGGTGAGGTGGAAAGGGAGAGAATTGCTATTTTATGCTGCCTTGTCAAGGAAAGCTTTGACAAAATGATCAGGTAGCATTTGAGTAGAAATATGAAGAAAAGGAGGAAGAAACCCACATGAGAAATCAACAGGATCACGCTAGGAGAAACTTATTCTAATCCATACATGCTCGATCAGGCTAGCCCATACTTGAAAATGATGCATGACACATTTCTAAAGGGGAATATCCAATGCATATAGATTATTGCATTTAATGTAATTAAAATAAGTTGATAATTGGTTAAATGATCCATTAGCTAATTTAAATTTAGAATTTAAATGTAGCATTTATAAAACCATCATATAGTTTAGAGTTATTACATTAAACAAATTGGCTTCTGTGAAAAATTGATCAGTCCCAAATTTTACATTTTTTTTGCTATTCTAAAAAATCAATTAAAATCAATTTTTAAAAATTTTAAAAATTAAATAATTTAAAATATATATATAATTATTCAAAATAACAATAATCAGAATTAAATTGAGATTAGTGAAGATCAAGGCAAATAAGAAATTGTTTTTAAAAAGGTGACTGAAAAATTATTATCAGAATGTAAAGCACTCACAATTTTATATTCTTCCAAATTAAAACATAATCTATAATCTTATTATTAAGCTGAAAATGCTACAATTACTGTATTTTCTCCTGGAGAATATTATGCTGCATTTTGCTGTTCTCACTGCTTTGGACAGATTATATGTATATGTGTGTGTGTGTGAGTGTGTACCCCTTTCCTATAGGTAACACACAGGTAATACGAGTAAATTTAACTAAGTTTCTCTCAAACTCTGAAAACTCCAAAATAGTGTCAATCACCAAGAGTTAGCAGACTATGGCCTGCAGGCCCAATCCAGCTCACAGATTGCCTTTGTAAACAACGTTTTATTGGAGCACAGTTACACGTCATGCATTTATGCATTTTCTATGACTGTTTTCATGCAGCAGTAGAATATTGCAATAGATATCATATGGCCAACAAAACTAAACTATTTAATATCTGAGCTTTTACAGAAAAAAGTTTCCCAACTTCTTATGTAGTGTAACAAGTATTGAAGGAATTTGGGAATCAGAATGAATGATGATTACTTAAGAGTGTCAGATACCATATAAATAATGAATAGAATCTGAAGAAATTAGAGACTACAGATAGGTAGAAAGAGGGTTAAGGATGTTTTAGAAAGGGGGAACACCTCAAGCAACGTGAAAGAAACCACGGTGAATTTGAAATTTCCCAGAGATGGTTGTAGCAGCACTCCGCACAAGCACATATTGCCATACTGACTATTACATTATACTATCCATTTTTATTTCCAACTGTAATAATGGTTATTACTCATTATCCATTCTAAAAAGTCTGCTTTATTGTTGTGCTAAAACACGTATCTCAATCTCCCGCAGACATTAAATACTACGAAATCAGGCAAATCCATAGAGAAAGTTAGAATTTTTATATAATAGTAAAGGAGGGAAGGAGAGAAGGAAAAAAGAACTAACATTTGAAATAATCCAGTATTGTATTTTCCCATACTGGGATGTCTCCCAAAACCACAGCCATATACAGCTATGGCAAATATTTGGTCTCCAGTGTACTTCCCTTCCAGGGAATCTTGGATGAAAACTAGAAGAGCAGATGGGCCTTGAGTTTTATTTTCGCACAATTTCAGTCAATCATGAAGGCAGACTAGCTATAAGGATTCTGTACGAACTCAAGCTGGAGCAGAGAAAATTATTGGCAAATGGACAGGAAATAGCTGTTGCCCTTTACCTAAAAGGTATAGTTGAGAGGTTTGGCTATTGGCAAGGGATATTGGCAAGAGTTTACAAGATTGAAGGACTTCAGATTGCATAGAATTGACACGAGAGTACGGTTTTCAAATGCATCTCTGCCGAAAGACGATGTCTGAAAAATCTTCACAAAACAATATATGTTTAAGCTATAACACTTCAAATAGATGTTTTATATGACCCATTTGGTAACATAAGCCAAATGGAGGAAAACAATTAACATCAACAAATGGCTCAAGAACAAAGCAGTGCTAGCTGAACAGAAATTCTAGCAATAACATCCTCATTTTTATATTAGGAAAAAATGCATCGCAAAAGGCACATTCTGAGTTGAACACATCACTCAGTGGTCTTACGTATATATTCAACTTCTACCTTCTGAAGTTGGAGCTACTGTACCTTTGCCTGTACATTTACCCTGCATCAAGTTGTATGGCTATTCCTTTCCATCATCAATAGCACAGCAGTTCCTCCAAGAGGTCTTTTATCTTCCTCCTGATGTCCAATTCAGGGTTTCTAGTGAATGCAATAATGGTCAGAAACGTAGATGGGCAGACAGCATGGGGACACTCAGGAGCAGAAGGCAAGGAGCAGTCCTGAAGCACAGAGATGGGTCACAATACCCTGAAGTAGACATCAGGGAGAAGACAAAAGACCTCTTGG